TTCCTAAATACCACACCAACGGGAGGACGTTTCAGCTCTCGACAGACGGCGGGACTTCAGTGGTACTGGGATCGAACTCATGGTATGCCGGCCATGATCCGATATCTTAGCCACTGGGCTACGGCAGCACTGGTGTAGTTTGGGACACCGAATAATCAGACAGTGTTACAAAAAAATTCCTTTTATTTCAGTCGAATCAACAAATGATCAAATAAATGTTATAAACCAAAGGTACAATTTAATTTAGTTCCCTATCTTAGGCTTATAAGACAGTTAATTAAAACCTGTCTGAGTTTGATATGATATTAGAGCACTTGTCTAAGATCTCCTAGATTTGCTAGATTCTAATCCAAAAATTCTTCTCTATTACATCATCGTTTCCGAAAGGCAATTCTTTAATATTACATGAACGATAGTGTAAGAACTAACACATCCATTGCCAGGGTTTAGATAGCACTCAACTTAACTTAAAACCAAGTTCTTTCTACGGAAGGCGGTTTTGAACTCAAACCACAATTAAAGAAGAATTTTTCTAAGAGGATTAATAGAACGGCCTATCTGAATCAAAGTAAGATTAAGTATAAGTAAAATGAATGAGTGCTTATTAATATCGCACTAAAAAAGCAACACAAGGAATTTTCGCGAACGAACCTCGTAATTTTGAACTTCATTTAACTGACGAAGACGACGCCTGACCGGAAACCCTCTCCAAATTACCCGCAAAGCCAACGGGAGTACTTCTGAACCACGGCAGATTAAATGTGCATCAATCTATCTACCGGGTGGTTAATTAGTGACACAAAGGCTCAAGATCATGACACGTCAGTTCCTTAACTCTTGAGTGAGCGAGAGAATATTAACGTCACACTATACAACTATTCGAATGCTTTTGGTGACGGAACTCGTAATTTTGAACCATGGCCAAGTAACGAGGTCAACACCTAAGCCGGGACCCCCTCTCCTTTCCACACGAAACCAAAGGGAGAACGTTTAGAGAGAAAGACACACAACAGCTACAAGACCGTGATTTTGACCACAAGACTACCGCGGCCACCTATGATTCGTGAGCACGCCCACTAGATTACCACTGTCCCCGCAAAGTTTGGAAACCCTCTGTTTTAAGCAAATTGAAATTATACTCAATGTTGAAAAATAAATACTTAAAATTTTCCTAAATATTCCAATCAACAACCAAATTTGAAAAATTATAAGATGATAGTAACTATTGTTGCTTTCAGCTGTAGTTTTTAAATTTTAATATAAAATATTTAGTACATATATACAAATGTATAGGGATGTGAATAACGGTAAACTTTCCCCGTTCATCCAGATCTTCTATGTATAGCGAATATAAAAGTGGATTTTCATCCAACCGGAATTGTTATAAGAGCTTACATAACGCACGAATATGCTAAAAAGTTTTTATATAATTCTGCGATGCATGTCTGAAAGGGGTAGAAGGAAAATATTACTTTTAGAATTTCAACACTTTCTTTCAACTTGAATCGGCGAACCAGACAGAAAGGAATAAATTTAGAGAATGTTTCTCTGCGAGCAAGATAAGGAAATGTATAATTTTCTCAAATGTTGGCCACGTGCCTGTAATTTTTAATACAAGTGTCGTCAGACAATCTGTGGAACATGTGGTTTAAACAAGAAGGCTTTTCACAATTCCAACTTGTTCTTTAAAAGTGTTTTCAGGAATAAAACGGAAAGTGGAAACTAATTTACAGATAGCAACCTAAAAGGGACAATGTTGCTAATGGAACCTGTTCGAGGCACTGCACGCTACGGTGATGTTCAATGTAAAATTTAGGCTTCATTGTGTTTTGCTTATGACTGTGTTACGTGCGTAGAAAGTGCTCCAAAAAGAAAGTAATTCGTGTAGGATACACCACTTTAAATAGTATTGCAAAACAGCACGCAAATGTGTCAGTGAGAAATGCCACATAGAAACACACATTTTGTTTAGCAATAAGGCACTTTTGAAATTTCACATCGTTGTGTTCTGCTTAAAGCTTTAATAAGTGTATAGGTAAAATGGTACAAAGATAGCTACTACTTCAACTCTAATTTGTAAAAGCAATTCTTAAAAATATAAACAGGTAAAAAAAAATCTTCTTACCTGCCTTCTTCCAAAAGGAACGGAATAGGATGTATTGTTCTTAATATATTTAATTAAAAGAAATCACTTAATTCCACTTGAAAAGCTATTTGAATTTTTGTGTAAATTATATTTGAAAAAAATTTGCAAGTTTAAGAAGAATTAAGATTATTTACAACTTTAAATAAGGTTAATCACTTAAGAATTCAGCGCGCTCTAAAAAAAATACACGTCTACTGTCTCACAGTTCTGGGGACAGACTCGAAGTTCCCCAGATGGCACTGGTGGGGTTGAGGCTCCCCTAGATCTCAGGTTTCAACAATAGAGAATAACTCAAGAAGACACATTATCAAATATTTATTTACATTTTTAATTATTAACTTTTAGTGACGGAGCTTTTATTTCGGTTGTGATTGTTTACTAGTATCGTGTTGGGAAACAACGAAACTATTAGTCTATTGGCGACGGAACTCGTACTTTTGAGTCACAGTCCAGTAACGATGCAGACATTTAAGCAAGCATCCCATTCCCCTAAACTAAAACGTCACTCTATAACTGGTTTATTGCGTTACAGCCCCTCATACATGGTGCATCTTCAGAGGCATCAAGACTCGAACCCATGACTTGACAAAAACTGCTCCGACCACGAATTCATGGCCATGATTACTTGGCTATGCTCTCACACTTCTGTTTGAAATCTTTAAGTGAAGTTTATAACTTGTTCGAGATCAGGAGTCACAAATTACTTCGGATAAGAAGGAACAAGACACCGCAGAAGTGATCAAAAATATCAAAATTAATATATAAAAATATCAAAAATAATACCCGTTTGGTGATTTACTGAACCGAATCCTTTTATTTAAATAATATACACCTTTCACGCAGCTGATGGTACACTACAAGCATTAAATTAGGACCTCCTAAGTCAATGTCATTGTTAAATTACTATAAACATCAGAACCGAGACTTATTTTTTTAATATGCTCTAGCATTTCGTTGTAAAGCATGTAATCCTCTTCAAATCCCATATTCGCTGTTTAGTACAGTTCTGAATAAATAATAATGCATGTTTGTGTAGATGACATGCTCGCGCAATAGGCGAGTTTATTATGCTGAACAACTTCATAAAGTACCCCCAGAAGTTTGTTAAGGGTAACACGCGTAATAGCCGCCTGCACACTGAGCCAAAATAATTCAAAATTCAAATTAAAGCTATTAATAAAAGTTCTGAAGTTGAACCATGTCCAATTGTCTGTCTAGACCTAAGATGACACTTCACTTTTCCAATATTTACACATTGTCTGACGAGGACTTCATAGTTAAATATAAAGTACATTTAACACTTCCTTATAAGACACAAACCCATGTTCCTCCAATAATTAGGTTTTTTACTAACTGAGCTACTCTAGCTTAAATTAACTTATGATATCCAGGAGATGGTGTAAAATATTAATCGCGAAACTAAAAGTATTTGTGTATCATTTAGCAATAAGCAAATTTCAAGCACACAATTTTTTTTATTTTAAAATTTTAAACGATTAATATTTATTTGTTAACCTTTTATCTACCAACGGTACCACTCAATTAAAAATTGTATAGAATAATCATTTTTATGAATACTTCTGAAGATACTTAGCAGGAATATTCTTTTAAATCCACTCTTCCGAGTTACATGGCAGCATGGGTCCTAGCATGAGTATTTTAGCGGAAATAACGAATAGTTTTACAGCAGAAATTGCGTTTCCAACTGACATTTGGATCGACTGCCAAGGTTGTCATCCTCGCTCCGAAAAAGTAGTTAATGTCAAAAGGTGTCTTTTGGTGTGTGTGTGTTTAATGAAGACCTTAGAAAACGATTTGACTTTTCATTTTAAGAGTGAACCATGTATATAATTAATTTTACAGTTGAATAACTTTGAGGTACTTATAAGTACCGACAGTACATTGGAAATGTTAGAATAACTTAGTTTTTTTTCGCCTGAGTGGGTTGTTTTTTGTTGTGTTGTAGAGTCATTATTATAGTGCAATAGACTTATGCTTTTTTTTGGCATTTTATTTTTAGCTTAAGGAGTTTATTTTGCATTTTCATTGCTTAATTTTAACGTTTTCGAAAAATTTTGAACTTTGAATATAAGTTTTTTTCCACACAGTTAGATGAAATACATTTGTTCTTATTGCATAAATTAACAACATTTTAATTTCTTTATATGTAACTGAGATTTAACAATAATAGAAGATTCTATTATTATTGTTATTCCTTTTCTTAGAATGTCTGGAAGAAAGAAGCCCGGTCTTCAAGAGGCTTTGGATTTAATACTGAACCTACAGTCTGAAATCAGCAATGTATAAACAGATGATTCTTCAAATGGAGTCCCAGAAAATAATCTGCTGCAATTTTTTTTTAGATTCTTAAGATGACGATTAAGAGACTGAATAAGACTCAAGGTGCAGTATTTCACTTTTTTTTCCCCAGGATACAATACTTTAAAATACATTGAATTGAAACCTCACTAAAAATGCATCACATGTAATGAATTTTTGTATATTAATGAAAAGAGAATCTGTTTCTTTGAATATGTTTAAAACCTATCTTTAATATATAAAAATTAAGTAAATTCCTTTTAGGTCAAAAGAGAAAATTTTATTTAGTTTCTTTTTATTAAATAATTACAATTAATATAAATATATATATATATATATATATATATATATGACAGAGTCATACTATTAAGTGGCAAAATTGAAAGCGATTTTCCTTACAACTTTCCATTTTCCTATCTACATGTGGTGTTGAACTATTTTTTGTTTTTGTTTGTTACTATTTATTCATTCTTAAATTTAATTATTCTAATAAAATAGTACGGTAAAAAAGAAATCACATCCTCAGAAATTAGGCCATTGCAGGTGAGATTCGAACTCACAAACTTTGGATTAGAAGTCCAACACGCTATCCATTGCGCTGCAGAGACACAACGAACATTTTCCCTTTTTTTTTTTTCTTCGACTAATATTTTTGTTTGTTGCGATTTATTTATTTTTAATTTTATTAATGAATAATATTTGAAAAAACTGTATTAACATTAAGTGTCATCCACTACAAGTTTAGAAAAAAATGTATTTTATTGACGATTGAAAATGTGAACAAGATTATATATATATATATATAATCTCTCTCTCTCTCTGTATATATATATATATATATATAAAAAAAGAGAGAGAGTGAACTCATAGTAAAAATTGAAAAAGTAAACTAATTTAAAAAAATTTTAAAAAATAAATATTTTGTGCTTTAAAATCTTAGTATTTTCTGGTTATTTTGCATTTTTAAGGGTTAAAACTGCGTTAAAAATGTCATTCGGTTTTTTTTGTATTGAGAATAATTTAGATCTTTTGTGTACTGACGGTACTTTAAAATACCAATTTAATTAGTTTAACCTGTAATGGATTAAATTTTCCAAAATTGAGTACTTCACTTATGTTTATCCCTTAATTTTCAATGCAGTTATTAAAAAAAATATATCGCATGAAAAAAATTGTAGTAAATCATAATGCGGTAGATAAAGTGTTAGCAAGGAGATTAAAGTCATATTTATATTGCAAATAAAAAAAATGGGACTATTGATAACAGCTAATGTATGCTTTGTTGCGAAAAATTTAATAAATTTTTCCTTCTACTTTGACATTTGTACTTACAAGCCCTTCACAAATATATATTACAACTTTATTGTCAAATGTCTGTTTCTGGCAGTCCCTCGAGAGATGTTTGTGGCTAAAAAGTACAAAAAGAATCAACTACAATGTTTATTTTTCTTCAAGATGAGTTCTGATTCTTCAGTACAGACGTTACCTTTAAAGCAACGCACCATTTTTTTTTATTGCTCTGTTTTCGTTACTTGTTTTTTTTTTTTTTTTTTTCGGGGAGGCTTTAAATTATATTTTCTTTCTCCACTATTCCCATTAGAACTGTGGATATATTTTTAGACTTTCAAACGAAAAATTTAATTCTTTAATTTATCGGTTGATGTCTTTAAATAAAAATAAAATGGGAAACACCTTTAAAAGAATACTTGGTGTCGAAAAATATTATCTGACATTTGCTAAAAGTTTACAAACAAAAACTTTTATTTAATGCGAGAGGAATATATTATATTAGAATGTCTTTACTTAAACGTTAATTATCCGGAGCGTCGAATATTCGGACCAGTATTTTTTTTTGTCAACTTTTGTCAATTTAGAAGGCGAAAAAGACTACAATGGCGACCACTGGGATAAGATTACCGACTCTGTCCAATCGATCTCAGGATTTCAAGAATGCGAAGATATAAAAACCTGGATGGCAATCGATGCAGAAAACTGTGGATTTCAAATGCTAAATGATGACGAGATTGTGACTTCCGTGCAAGCAGAATCCGACCCTGTCGACGATGAAACGGATGAAGACGAGGACAACAACAACGAAAGTAGCAAGGGTCCATCAAATGCTGGACGTTTTCTGCGTTAGAGACAGCTATGGAGTCGTACGAACAACATTCAGAGTGCTGTCCTACTGAACTACTGCTGCTGCTCATGAGAATCAGAGACCTTGCAGCCAAAAAACGAAGGTGTACAATGGTACAGCGAAAAGTAAGGATTAATTTACTAAAGGGAAAGTGCATTTTGCACCATTTTTCTTATTCCTCAAGCATGTGTTTACATGTGATGATTTTCAATATTCGCATAGTGTCCAGTTTCATATATTGCATGGATCGCCTTCGGTGTTCAGTTATACGAAAAATCAGTACCCGGGAACCGTGTCCGATCCCCAAATTGATTGGGATAAACGACGTTCAAAAAAGTATATATATAAAAAAATTTTTCTTAATTTCCTTTTTACACCTCCTTAAAAAATTTATAAATCTTGTTCAAATTTTCAATGTTAATAAAAATACTTTTATTCATCCCCAAGATCAAAAAAATTTTAAATTGAAAGATGACATTGATGTTAATACAGTTTTTAAACATTAATTCATTTTTTTTTAAATTGAAAAAAAAAAAGTAATAGTCAAACCCAATAAAAAAGGAAAAATCGCTCTCTATCCCCCTGTAACGCAAGGAAAGCGCGTTGAATTTTTTTCCAAAGGTCGGGTTAATCCCACCCAAAAGGGCCCCTATTTCGAGAAGGGATTTATTTGGAAAATTAAATGGAATTAAGAATAAATAGTAAAAAACATTATAATATTTCCCCCCTGATGGGAAAACAATGGAAAAGTGAGAAAAAAAATGCTTTTTTTCCTCTTAATACTGTGATTCTTTAAAAGATTTTTTTCCTCATTTTTAAAAAGCATTCAGTTGAACGGAAAATATATACGTTATTTTGAATGTTTTGATACTTTAAGGTATCTGTTTTGACCAAAAGGTTGTGCCTTTTTTAAAAATTTTAAAGAATTTGATTGTAAAAAAATTTTTTTGTTGACCTAAGTAAATTGCAAAAGCAAGTAATATAAAAAAAATTTTATCTTTCTTTCCCCAACTAAATAATAGATATATACTGTTGTTTTACTACATATGCTTATTTTTAAATCCGGTTTTTAAAACTGAAACCCAATTCAATGCTTAACGTGTTGGTAAAAATATGGTTCCACGAAGTTGATGTCCAAACGTTCCGAAAAAGATTGAAAAAAGTCAAATTTACCCCAAAAAAATTCCTTTGATAATTAATACATTTTCCCGCGGGGGCATGTTCTTTGACGATTTTTTTTGGTTATTTTAAAAAATTCCCAATATTTAATTCGTTTTTCTATTCGGCCTCATTCAAAAAATCCAAATATAATATTCAAAAGTATACATTTCTCTTCATGAAATTCTTTGATTACGCGTACTCTAATTTCAAATTTATTTAATCCGATTAATATTCATCAACAATTTACAACCTAATTCATGAAATACCAATGACGAAATAGTAATAGTTTATGGATCACTAAACCTCTCGAAGAAAACATCTAAATCGAAAATATAACTTATAGAATGATTTTTTTATGAATTAATCCCTTTTAACAATAACTTAATATTATTTAGATCACTAATCCATATATTTAAAAAAAAACTAAGTGATTTTTTTGGAAAAAATAATTCGGAAACTTCACTCTGTTCAATTTCCCCCAAAAAGGCATTTGGGGTTTTTAAATAAAATTTTTTTCAACATGAATCATCTCTTCAGTTAAAATTTAATTTAATTCAGTTTTTCCGCGAAAACAAAATGGATCTCGATATCAATTTAAAAAATGTTCCCGACATCTGGACTTTAAAATAATAAATGATATATCCCATCATAAGCCAATTTTTGGATGGTAGCCGTTCGGTAGGGTAAGGGAAAGGATATTTAGTAACACTCCCCGGGTAAAGTTAAAATCAAAAAACAGGTTCTGGCCCCTTTCAGATTGGAACCGCTATTGTTGGGGTCTTTGGCGTTCTCAACTTAATGGGATTGGGTCCTGAAAGACACCGAAATTCCATCCAATATTTGGAAAATTGGCCAAAAAAATTAGGACATACGGTCTGAATTTTATAAATTTGGGTAGGCTTGGTCGGGAAACGTATTTCCGTGGATACCCTCGTGGGGGTCCTGGAAACGAGGGTGATGAGTGGCTGGTACAGGGTTGTATCTTTTAACCCCCGTTTCCCCTGTCTTGAGACATTCGGGTTATCTCCTGCTAAAAAGTTTGACGACGAAACCCCTCCTGCTTCCACGGTAATTTTCTGCAAAGTCCCCGGGGCCCCTCTACAGTGCAATTCTATGGTACCAAACAGACGCCCCCAGAAGCGGTCACCCCGTGGTCGACGGGGAAGTGTTTTTTTACCTGTTCCCGATTCCGCCCCCTCTCATCTTCTGGGCTGCTGGGGAATTTCCCCGGGACGTTGCAGAGATCAAGACCTGGTGTGTGACATTATTATGCGGAAAGGTCAAACGGACTACGTATATGCTTTCCCTCACAAAGGGGATTTAAAATAAGAACAACAACAACAACAAAATTAAAGCAAAGCTATCATAAATCAAAGAAATTATTTTTAATCACTTTATTTTGTGACGGGGCTTTATCGCGTCTTCCACTAATTGTCCTCTTGGGATTCTTTGGGGCCAGAATGGCAATTCTTTCCAACCAACTCAAGAAGACAACGTGTTTATGCAAATTAGGAATCATATATATTAAAAGGTTAGCATTCACGAGGATCTCTAAGTGGAGAAGTAATGCTGGAAGTGATCGCTAAGTGAAGTGAGATAGTCTAGAAGAGGAGTCTTCATTCTGAGGATTGGCTTAACAGTGCCGTTGTAGATAAGTAAAAAGTGGATCCGAGACCAGCGGAGAATTCCCTAAGCCAGAGCCATCTAGATTAAAGGTGGAATTGATGTTTTACGGAGCGTAGCTGAATACCCAGGAAATATCGGTAAAATAGTTCATCTAAACTATAAGGATAGCGCGGATACTATTAAATTAGAATTAATACATTAATATAGATTAAATTGTTAATACGTGTCAGTAATACGTGTTGCATTCTCTTAGACTAGTATTACTATTGTATTGTATATAAATTAAGATCAGAATGAACTAATTTTAGTATCTCAAAATTTAGTGGTTCTTTTTTCCTTCTTGCAGACAGAGGTCGCGTGAATAGCTGAGAAAGGGTATCCCTTCGGTGATAATACCACAATTTTACCGCTAAATTTACAGAAATTCGTATGTATCTATATATAAATTATAAACAAGTAACTTAAATATGTATATACATATGACTGAATCACAATATCAAATGCCAAAATAAAAAGCGATTTTCCTTGCAATGCTATATTTTCTTTTCTGAATATGGTGTTGGACTATTATTTTTATTTCTTACCATTTAATCATTAATTTAATTATTCCAACAAAATAGAAATATGGCCATACTAGTTGGGATACGAACCCAAGACCTTTGGATTAGAAGTCTAACA